GTGTGTATATATATATATATATATATATATATATATCCAAAGAAAATATAATTAAGACATTTTTATTATATAAATAGAAAAAAAATATTTGTGCTATTATTAAAAAATTTGCCTAAAAAGTAGTTAGTTTCTAAATTTATAGATTAAATTGCTGTTTATTGTATTTTTCAAATGTAACTTTATAAAATGTTAATCAAATTATTCCAACATAAAGTATGATTCCAAGAATGTTGTTGCAATTTTAGCATAATACAAATTTTTTTCATATGAATTATTTTACATAATTCTATGAAATATCTAGTAGCTTTATTATTCTTTGAAAGAAAAATAAAAAAATGTTTTATAAAATATTTGCATAATAAACATGAATATAAAATAATTTTAATACGTTCCTATTATTTTCAAAATTATCTAAATTAAATGAATATCAGCTATATTTATTATCATTAGTAAACAATGAATGTATAATCAGGAACCAAAAAATTGAGAACCCCTGAATACGTTACACCAATAGAAATTTAACACGAACATGGATATATTTATGTACGTGTATTGAACTTTCAGTTTCTATTTCTCTATAGATCGAATACTTTATTATTTTAAAAATGAGAGAAAAGTTCATTTATTTCTCATTTATGATTTCATTCGTAATATTTTTACTTTGGACAAGTCCTGTGAAAGGTATATTAATATATTTATTTTCATGAAACGTCAAAATTACATGTAGTGTATATATTTTGAAATATTATTAATTTTTTTTTTTTTTGATTAAGTTACTAAATTATCATATTTCAAAAATTTTATAAAATTTTCATTTGAAAAAGATTTCATTATTATAGAATAATTTATAAATCATTAATTATTTAGTTAACCTATTTTCATTTAAAATAATTAAAAAATTGAATTTCTATTAAAACTAATCATTTTAATAAATATTATTTTAATATATTTTCTAAAATTTTTAAAAATTCATAATTCTAAGAATTTGTATAATTTAATTGTATATTTTTAAGGAAACTTTATTTTTAATTTAATTTAATTAAATAAGAAAGTATGTATGTATACAGCTAAAGGAACACAACATGTGACATGCGGTTCTACATTAAAATTAATGAATGTAAATTATAAAGTAAGATTACATTCTCATGATATAAAATATGGAAGTGGTAGTGGTCAACAATCTGTAACAGGAACCTCAGCTAAAGAAGATGGAAATTCTTATTGGCTTGTAAAAGCAGGAACAAAGAAACAATGTACCAGAGGGTATATATTTAATCATTTCAATATATGATTTTTAAACAATAATTATAATATGCAATAATTATAGGATACCAATTAAATGTGGAGATATTATAAGATTAGAACATATAGCAACAAAAAAAAATCTACATTCCCATCGTGTCAGTTCACCACTTAGTGGTAAACAAGAAATATCTGCTTATGGAGATAATAAAGGAGAAGGTGATAATGGTGATAATTGGCTTTTAATATGTCAGACTGAATTTTGGAGAAGAGATGAATCAATTATGTTGAAACATGTAGATACAGATACGTGAGTTTTCTATATTTTTATATTATGTATAAAAAAATTCCTTAAAAAATTATTATTATTAAAATTCTGTTATTTTATAGATATTTAGCAGTAAGTGGAAGAGTTTATGGTAATCCTATTACTGGACAAACTGAAGTGGTAGGAGAATATTCCTCTAATTCTCCTCATATTGAATGGATGACAACAGAAGGAGTATTTATTCATCCTAATGATTTTAAAGCTCAACATCATATTCATACAGAATTATAAAATAAATTTTTTAGTATAATATAAAATTTTTCTTGATAATAATAATGACAATTATAACAAATGAATTAAAATTTATATAAATATTTTATTAATTTATTTCTTTTCATTATCTTCAGATCAATATCTAATATTTTATATGTTTGTAAAAAAAATTTTCACATTATTTTTAAATATCTCTAAAAAAATAATTTTATTAATAATTTTCAAAAAAATTGTATTAAAAAATTATTATTATTTTCTAGATCAAATAAAATGAATGTTTCTTATTGTTTTTGTTATAATCTTTATTATATATGTGAATCTCGTAATGGAAAATATTATAATATTATATGTATAAAAATTTATGAAGAGTGCAATGATTTATGATTCATACAGAAGTATAAATATGTAAATGTATTAGATGTATATGATATTTATTACAATATAATATAATTTACATAATTGAGAAATGTATTTTATTGTATATACATTGTTTATATAAAAAATGCATAAATATATTTTTTTATTTAATTATCTTAATAAATTTTTTCATTTAGTTATATTTATTATTATTATCATTTATGGTAATTTTAACTATTCTAGTCATTTGTTTTTATTATATTATATTTGCTTCAATTCATATTTCCCATTAAGATCTCTAGTTCCTATGAGACCATTATACGGAAAAATAATATTTGACAGACCGTAACTTCCAAAAATTTCTTTCAAAGTTTGTTTTTCTGATATATTTGCATATCTTTGTTTACCTGTCATACAACTATGCAATTTCCATGTTGCATATATCAAACAAATACACAAAATAGAAACTAATATATCAAACATTGTAACAAGTAATATATAAGTATTTTCTCTAGAATATAATAATTTGATAAGAGCAATAGGAAAACAAAAATTCAAAAATATATTAAAAGAATCTGTATCTGTTCTTATTACACGATTAATATTCTCATATAAATATGGTCCAAGAATACATAATGAATATATACATGTTAATGATGTATAAAAACAAAATAAAATGAAATTACCTATATTTTGCCTTAATATACAAGCACCCAAAAAAAAACAATGATGATCACGAAAATGGAAACACTTTTTACAAAAAATACAATGTTGTGTTGGTTTGCATGTATAATTAATACATTTTTCACAATACCAATATTTATGTTCAGCATTATTTTCTGCTTTATTATGTATTAATAATTTTTTTCCTATTATTTTAACTTCCATGATTGTTGCATTTTGACTTATAGCATATATTGAATACCAATTTAAATATACTTGAATACAAAAAAATATGAAAACTGGAGTAAGTTTTTCATTAATATATATTGTTAAAATAATAACAATTATACTATATAACAATGCAATGAATGGGCAAATTTTTACAATAATTTGTGGAAATCCTTTCATATTTTTTGTTGTATCTTTTATAATACAAGTTTAAAGTTAATTAATTTTAATATATGATTAAAATAAAATACGAAGTGTCTTCTTTACTTTTTTTAGTATAAATCCATTATAATTGTATCAATACAATTTTTCTTTTCCTGTAAAATGTATAGAAAAAATAAGGAAAAATATTACGATTTTCCCATCTATTTTTTTAGTTACTTTTTAAATCTTAGTGGTGAAATGAAACAAAATTTTTAATATTTAATGTTTTTTTAATGTTTATTAAAAAATATCACAAATTAAAAAAAGATGTATAATTATAGAATTCAATATAAATTGGTTTATTTGCTAAAAAAGGAAATATATATATATGTATATATTTATGTGTATGTGTATAAATATATATATATATATATATAAATATCTGCAGAAAGAAAAAATAACTAAATTGCACATATTATAAAATATTTTCGAATCATAATTTATTATTTGTAATTCTTTGATTTTAATCATATATAACCTCTTCTATTTCATCGTAAATATTTTATCTAGAAAGATTACCTGTTTTTTCTTTCTTTTAAATAAGGATATTATTATAACGATGTTATAATATATTTAATGTTAATATAATATGATTATTTTATTTTTTATATGTTCATAAAATACATTTAATACTTAAATGAATATTGATTTTAAAAACTGTAGAAACTAATACTCAAAAAATATAAAATATCATATTATTTTAACTTCCATAAGATAGAAATGATTAAATAAAATAATTAAATTCTTCTTTGAGTTTTTTGAGAATATAAGTATAATAAGTATAATATAAAAAAAAGAAAAATTTTTATTACATATTTTTTACGCTTAAAAATTGATCATATTGATATTAATATTTTAGATAATAAATCCGAATAAATAACAAATTTTTATAAAAATTTTTATTTTTTATTGATATATTTGATTTACATGAAATTTAATTTGAAAAGACAGCATATTTAATATGTAAAATAATAAAATTTTTGTGTAAATAAGATTAAATTATAAAAATTCTCTTGAATGAAATAGGTAATTTCAAAAATAAAAATTTAATGAAAATTTCGTAATATATTTAATGATTAAAATGTTTTTTTTTATATTACATATTAAAAAGATTTCTCTCTATATTTTTTTGTACAGCTTTATATATTTTAAAATTTTATATTTTTATTATGCTCAAACTTTGTACATTTTTTTTCAAAGAGAAATCGTCTTTAAATTTTAATTTTTTTCATTGCTTATAAATATATATTGAATTGCTTATATTGAGTAAGTACATACATTTTTATTTTACAAAATTATTTTTCTCTTTTTAATTTCTTTTATTTTCATTATAAAAAAAATTCGTAATTCTTTTTTAAACTAGAAAATATAGAAAATATTATCAATAAATGATATTAATATATAAAAAAAAAATTTTAGACATATTAATGAATATTTACACTTAATTTACATTGCCGATTCTATAATTTTTCTTCTATTATATATACATTCAATGTTTCCTATTTACATATGAAATTACTTGTGCATCATTAATTTATGTTTATTCATTTTCTATGTTTTTAAAAATCAAAAGTAACTAAATATGTATGATAGTTACATATACTATCACACATTCTATACTTGTTGTATACATTTATACATTTGTATACATTTTCATATTTATAATCTATACTTTTGTTTCCTACAAACAATTCACCCTATACTTGTAAAGCTATATGAATATAAAATAATTTTTACAAGTTATCAAAATACAATTTTTATAAGTTATCAAAATAATGTATATGTACTATAGTCAAATACTTGTACAGATAAAATTTTAAATCTTTGAATAATATGTTGATAGGCTATTTAAATACGTGATCTTTTTTTTGTTACTTTCTTATAATAATGATGTATTTACAGTTTCACGAAAGTTCACCAATGGGTGCGTGTTGTAACCATAAATCATGTATAAAATTATACAAATCATCACTAACAGCAACCTGTATAAATTATCATAATTTTCAATTTTAACGAAATATTTTATAATTCAAAGTATTAAAACTCACTTTATATGGTGTAGGATTTAGGTTTCTCTTGTGATCATTTCTAAGTGTTCTTAAAGACTCTTGGACTTTATTTCGTATTTCTTGTAATGTAAGTAAAGGTTGGCATAATTTACCATTTTTCCAATAAACCTAAGTATTTATAGAAAAATATTATAAATTATGATTATAGAAATTTATATTTTATTAATTTACCTTATGTAGTGGCTCCACTCGCGTTGGAATAACATAAGCTCTTTTTGACTCTTGAAAAGGATGTCTACAAAGAACTTTATGTTTTACTTGTGGTATTTCTTCTGTTGATCTTTGTAAGAGATCAATTAAAGCACATCCATCTGCTCCATATAATCTAAATGCAACTTTTTTACCAGGTATTGTTATTTTACTAACATCATGACTGATTTTTATTCTAGGTTGATCATTAATTTCAACCATTTTATAAACGCAACCTAGTGCTGGTTGTCTTTGACATGTTACCAAATGTGTTCCAATTCCAAAACAATCAATCTTATGATTCTATAAAATCAATATTTTTTATAAAAATAAAAAAATTTATGATAAACTGAAATTGTATTTTTTTATATTGTATTTATCTACCTGTTCATTTAAACTTAGAATGGTCTCTTCATTGATATCATTTGATGCACAGATTGTTAATTTCCCAAACCAAGGTATATTATATTTAATACCAATTCTTTCAAACAAATCTCTGGCGAAATTACTTTGATATGCTAAATCGCCACTGTCAAGTCTTATACCAATTGCTTTATAACCCAAATCATTTAAAGCTAGTGCCACTGCACAAAAGTTTAGAAGACCACTCCTAAGTATAAAATTTATTTATAAATTATACATATAAATTATCATCATAATACAATAGAAAAAGTATTATCAATTATGCATGCATTAATATTATCATAAAACATTATTCTGAAACATAATGTATATTTGTGTTTATTTTATATAAACACAAAACATATAAAATTATTGTAAAAATCTTTTATATAAAATTAAAATTTACTACAATATAAATATGATATATATATTAAAAATATGTATATGTATATATATTAAAATTTTTATACAAGGTAAATATGAGATATATATTACATGCAAGTGATTGATATTAATTATGATACAATAAAAAATCAAATAATCTATTAATAGATTTTATTAATATTCCGTTTATATTCTATTAATTTTTTATAATTTACATTTATATATATCTAAATTTTTACAATTAAAATTATTATTAATAAAATGCGAATCAGTTAATGGTTATTTTTTATATGGCTGAATTGGGAAGGGTGCTATATAAGGTCGTACATAATACAAAATTCATCAAATTGTTTACAAAATGACTCACGATTTTAAATTTTTTATTATTGTTTTATGAAAAAAATAAAAAAAAGATCTATAAATTTGCCCGCTTTACAGAATGATGTTTTTTTTCATAAATTAATAAAATTAATATTAGAATAATATTATACTTGAAATATGAAATATGTATTATTTTATATTTTAAACTCAAAATTATTAACATAAATAATAATATATAATAAATTTAAAGTTTAACAAAATAAAAATTCTATTAATATATATTTATTATTCATGAATATAATATTGAGTAATTATTTGGATTTGATAAATATGATAAAAAAATGATAAAATATGATGATTTATTCTGCAAAGCAGACAAAATAAATAATATCGTACCTCACATAGAGCTCACCCAATTCGCCTTGACTTAAAAAGCCATTCTTGTGATGTGAAGTTGATTCTGATATAACCGGATCATTTCTGACACCATTTTGGGCATGTTTATTGGACCCATTTATTAGATGTTTATTCTTTACATTTAGGCTGACTATATATGCTTGTCTCTTGGCCGAAGATTCGATGCTATAAACACACTTTTGTTAGGCTATAGTGTGTATATATTTCATGCCTGCTTTGAATTTTTCATTAAAATTACATATTTATTTATATACATATCAAATGCAATTAACCATAGTTTTAGTTGAAAATAAAATTAATGATAAATTTCTAATAATGTGAAAAGTTTCATTAAAAAATATTTTTAATATTTTACAATATATTTTATAAAATTTATCACTTAACTCTTATAACAAAATTTTAAAATTTTCTCAGGAAAATTATCTTAGGAAGAAATAAATAATAGATTTTCTTTATATTTATATTTAGTTCTATATATTTTTACTATGTATTTCTTTCATTACTTCACATCATGCATACTAAAAAAAACACAAATTGTATTTAAATTAAATATTATAAGCTTATAATTAACAATAAATTCTATAAATAAATTAATATTAAGTAAAAAGTGAAATTAAAAATGCAAAAAACATTAATAATACTAATATATAAAAATCATACATCTATAAATAAAATTTTGAATATTTATATGCAGATAATCAAATATAAA